GTGGAGCCCACGTGTGCCCAACTCATACTTAGCTGGGACACACATGCATACATGTAAATAAAATCCCAATTTAAACACTGCATGTTGGGAAAAATGCCTACATAATAAAACTTTGCTGAAATCTTAATTTGTGCAAGGGCTCCTATGAGCACTCAAGAAATGTAAAATGGAAGAAGTTTGGCACTATCAGGACTCTTTCTGAAGCCGGCTGCCAGGTTATCGATCAGGGAGGTGATGAAAAACTCAGGGCCAAAGGCACAAAGCCACACAGAGAAGACACGTCATCACAGATGCTTCCCTTCCAGTCTGAAGTTACTTTACACAATATGCTAAGAAGAAAGGGAAAATCTGCCCATATCCAGGTTTGCACATCATAAAGACACTAAAGAAAAAAGAAAACTTCACTTTAGTTTGTCATTATAGCTTGAGTTTACTTGTGGGAATGTGGCAAATGTTTCAAATGAATGTTACAGATCATACACTGTGCAGCAGGATGCCTGGACAGTTTCTGAAAAGACTGTGCATAACATAATACACAGCATAACAAACGTGTCATTACTTCCTGATAAAACCGTTGGTTTAATATTCTCAGCTTCCATTACGAATGATTTTACTGTGAAATAATACCAAATATATCTACTAGGAAACAGGTTTAAATTAGAATTTCACATCTTCCACTCCACTGAGGTTCTGTTACTGAACACTGTGGTCAGCAGCTGTGCTTTTTGATGAGATGCAGCACTGTGTTTAACGCCGTGTGATATCGTTACTCTGAAACGACACAAATTTAAACTTGAAAAGTCTGCCTGCATTATAACTCAGTGTTTCCATGGTAACAAATTAGTAATGAGTAGCACCGCAGGGCAAAAATAGGAAAACGTGGCTCAGCATTTGTGGTCTGCCATGCTGCCAAGGTGTTTTTAGAGCCAAGTGGAGACAGTCCCGCTTCTCATCAGCACACATACTGAATCCTGTCACATCAACAAGCCCCAGGAGCTCATTTCTGATGCGGGTCTGCATTGCTTAGATTTTATGCTCCTGGACACTGTTTGTGACAATAGAAAATAAAAATTTAATTGGATCTCCTG